AAAAAGAAAGAACAGGGAGAGGGAAGTAAAGAGAAAGAGGCTGCAATTGGGTTTTAGCAATTTATGTAAAAAATAGATTTTAATGCTTCATAGAAATTTAGATGTCTAAAAAAAAATTGATAATTGCTATCAATTCAAATATTTAATGTTTTTAAACAAATAGTTTAGGGATTTAATATAAGTTAAATACTATATTTATTAACACATTTATAGAGAACATATTAAAACATATATATATATACAAACGGGTGGATTTTTATTTTATTGATCAGATAGATTTTTATTACTTAAAAGCCATTTTAGTGGATACTTGTTTTTGAGTAGACTCTCCATTTATTTATTAAATTGTATGTTTATCTATTTTCGCCTACCGGCCTGAATATGCGAGCCCACATATTTTTCTCTAACAACGTTTCTCAAACATATGTTATTCTGCTTTCGCAATTGAGTACAGGGTAGATAACATTCAGCTTTTTCACATATACATGTTTTGGGACATCATTTCTAGAATATGCTATATGTGCTGGGGCACCTCGACGCGGTGTAATGGTTAGCAAGCATGTCTCGCTAGAGCAGTTACGACTCAATAGTGAATTCGATGCTCACTAGGTACCCCATACTTTCGGCCTTGTGTCACATCTAAGCTACGCTTAGAAATCATTTATTAGCAAGCTTGTCTCACTAGAAGAATTATGACTGAGTAGTGAGTTCGATCCTCACTGGGTGCCCCATATTTTCGGCCTTGTGTCACATCTAAGCGACGCTTGGAAAAATCTCTATGTTTTATGTTGAAGTTATATTTTTTTAATACAGTTTTATTGAAGAAACTGTCGTATATTATATGGAGTAATGCCATGTTAGTTGTTGGGTTGGTTGGTTGATTTTGTTTAGTGACATATCAACACCTCTATGGGTTATATAATGCCGAATTCTAAATAATTTGGAGACATTTTTATGGTTCAAGTAAATATATTTTGATGATATTGCCTTCAACTAGAGATAAAAGGTATCGCTGTTTATTTTGATTTAAAATGTTTTGTTGATCATTTTATGTAAAAGTATATTACTCGTATTTTTACTATGAAAATCTATTTTAAGTATTTTGTTTAGAAGGCTCATTATATGTGCTCGGCTCAGGATAGTCCTGGGAAAAACAACAAGATGTCGTTTCACGTTTTTTAAAACCCTCAGTTGCCTAAAATAATTTATTGTCATACCCAGGGCTATTTTCGGTAGTCTTTGCCAAACGTTTATGTTTATATATATATATATATATATATATATATATATATATATATATATATATATATATATATATACTAACAACATGCTAGTATATATATATATGTTGCCTGTGCTTGATTCAAAAAATCGTACGACTCATACAGCAATCGCTATCACTTGACTTAAAATATTTTTGCCCTTCCTTGCCTTTAAAGGAGTGCCCTTTTCCGTGCTGATGTTGCTACATGCCTTACTTCTTGCCTATCTCACACGCGAATTTTTCTAAGCGCTATACTAAACATTAAATGTGTTACAAAAAAGGAACTAAACAAAATAAACACAAAACGATCAGCTTTAAAAAAAGGACTCGTAACTGGTAAAACCGAATGAAAAAAAGAATATTAACAACAAATACTTTTTCACACTCAACCCAGTTCTGCGGAATCAGAATCAACGTTGAGTTTAAGCAAGCGAATGAGCCAATTGGAGTAAAGTGCCATGCAGATTTAATTTTTCCCACTTGTGACGAATGCAGCTATCGATTTTTTTTGCATGCTAGCATGCTAGTTAACATTCGTATCAGTCAGCTGTTGGCTCTCAAGCTGGCCAGTAGAATCTTCCTGCATATTCGTGGCAGCCAGCTATAGGCTCTCACTCTGGCCATTACAAAATGGCCACAAACTACATGAAAACTGCCGTAGAAGCATGAAGACATCGATTATTTCCACTATCGATGGGAGTTGGGAAATGCAAAGTTGGTGTTGGCCTTCCCACTAACTTGGAGCATGCGCATGTAAATTTTGGTGCAAATCCGTCGAAAATTGCGGCCGTGCATTCGTTACACACACACACACACACACACGTCCTGCCTTTTTATATATATATATATATATATATATATATATATATATATATATATAATATGCGGTGCAGTTCAACACACACACATCCTGCCTTATATATATATATATATATATATATATATATATATATATATATATTAAGAAATGGACAAAACCAAACATTTATTTATTAAAGACATTTTATGTTTAACGTTCTTTTTTTTTATAGATACAAGTATTTACTTAAATACTTGTATCTATAAAAAAAGAACGTTAAACATAAAAATCTTTATCTTTAATATATATATATATATATATATATATATATAT